GAAAGTGTGAATTTATCTGATAACGTAAGTTTTTCAGGCACTTTTAATTTACCGTTTGATCTTAGCTTGAAAAAACGCATGTTTGGTTGTTATTGAACCGCTATTACTTACTGACCATGGAAAGTATGTGATACACAAATAACACTTTTAAACCAGGATGAAACACAGATAAGAAAAGGAAACTGAACACTACACACACACACACACACACATACGCATAGATAAATTTCAACTACTTAAAATATACATATATTATAAAAAAACTGGACTTCAATGAACAAAAAATTTGATATGTATTATATAGTACACTTCAAGCACAAGATGCATAAGGCCTCAATTATAAACCCATTGGCTTGCTTCAACATGTGGTTGAGGTCTTAGACAGAAATGAATACTTAAACTGTGATAGGCACAGTAAGAAGTATTATACAGTTTTAACTTGAATTTATTAGCATTCATTTAATGCAAAATTGCGTGCAGGTTTCATCAATATATCGTTAAATCGTCATGATCAGTAAAATTATTCACTACTTGAATTTTGAAACGGCAATCAACGCAGCAACACACAACAACGCTAGCTTTCTTGTGATATAAAACATAACAACAAATGGGAACGTACAATAAATCTAACGCTGACCATTATTATTGTTATACAACATAAATATAGATGATAACGTAGGATAAGTCTAACGCTGACCATTATTACTGTTATATAACACAAATATAGATGATAACGTAGGATAAGTCTAACGCTGACCATTATTACTGTTATATAACATAAATATAGATAATAACGTAGAATAAGTCTAACGCTGACCATTATTATTGTTATATAACATAAATATAGATAATAACGTAGAATAAGGCTAACTCTGACCATTATTATTGTTATATAACACAAATATAGATGATAACGCAGAATAAGTCTAACGCTGACCATTATTATTGTTATATAAGATAAATATAGATGATAACGTAGAATAAGTCTAACGCTGACCATTATTATTGTTGTATAGTGCTGTTGATGAGTTCTTGAACACTCCACTGACTGAAAAACTCAAAGAAGAAGTGTCCAGAGCGTTAAACAGGGTTTTCTCGAAAGATAGAGCTGAATTGCGTTTTGCTGTTCGATCCTCTGATGTAGGTAAGAATTTTCACCTTCTTTTTTAATCTGATGAACGAAATCAGTGGGTAATCCTATATGCTACATCTTGTCGGAGTCTACATGTTTCATATTGGCTTCAATTCGAAAATGTCAGAATTCAACTTATGACTTGATATTCATTAATCGGTTTTGATGATAAACTTGTATCATAATTAGTGTTGCCAAGTCTCGCAATAAAAATAAGCGGCACTGACTTGAAAAACTGCTCTTTTATGGCTTCCCCTCAAAATGGCGGCATAATTGGAATATAGAATGTGTTAAGTGGATGGGCCAGAAAGTTCACGTTTGTGGTGTTTTCTAATTGAATAAAAGTTGGGCTAGGATGATCCTGAAATTGAAATTATATATATAGGCTATTAATTGACCCAGACAATCACCGAAACCACATATATACAAACATTTTGCTGTGTGTTGAAGTCGGCTATTATAAAAAAAGCCCAAATAAGCGACCTCAGGATAAAACAAGCCCAAAAAACTGCAACTACCGACTTTAAAGAAATTAAAGCGACTTAAAAAGAAACAAGCCCAATTCCGTAAAGATATAAATATCAAGATATTAAATTACAAAAGTCGATATTATACAATCCGCTCTATCAAAAACATAATGTTTCTTTTACCTTCAACTAGGGGAAGACAGTTCCGAAACCTCAGCTGCAGGGCAGATGGAAACCATATTAGGAGTTAAAGGAGTTTCTCAAGTAATTATTTTTAAATAATAATATATCTTATATTGTAAACCGTTTATATGATAAGTAGGATCATATAACTTCACCTAGGGACTTAGTCTTTACATAAATTATATGCAATTGAAATTTTTGTTTTACATCATAAACTCTCTGTAGAGTATGAATAGTTACACTAGAATAGCTATGTCAAACTAATATGTTTTGCCTACGCCTTTACTCATGATCTACAGGACTTTGTATGCATCAATAAAAACTATTTATATTTCTTTCATGCCTGTCAAAAGAAACTCAATCATTTGTTTTTAACAAGATTATGGATATCAGTGAAAATCTGCTCAGAAAAAGTTTATTCTTTAATTGGGTTTAACATATTTACGTAGCAATTACCCATTGAAAGTCGGTAACTGTGACTGGAGTTTCTCTTTATAGGCGTTCAATCATGATTTTTAAGTAGCTACAGGACAATTATGATATGGCTACACATTGTGACTACAGCAACCGTGACTTGACTTTACCTTCATAATTGTTCAGTCATAATTTTTAAGTAGTTACAGGACAGTTATTGATGTAGATTATATGACTAGACGTTGTTGTACTCACTTTTTGGAAGTTGGAAATAGTTTGTGTTCTCTGATAATCTTGTATGTTGAACGTTCTTTTATAGTCAGATAGCTCCCTCTACATATAAATCCCGAATTACCCTCAATGCAGATATTAACATTTCAAGCAAAGATAAATACGTATGATAATTGTTTTGTTCATTATGAGTGTATTACTGATCCTCTTACAGATTCATGAAGCAGTCAGTCGGTGTTGGGCTTCTTCTGTAGCATTTAATGCTGTCCAGTATCGTAGGTAAGTGTATCAATATATGTTTGACAGTTGGTATTGAAGGTAATGGAAATATGCTTTGAAAATTTCTAATAAAAATACGTCTTTTTACATATAACTGCCAATCTTTTTATGTTTGTGGTTTTTGTATTTGTGAAAGCATGCTTGTTTTATGAAATTGTCAATATCATTTACTTTAAATTATTGAAATTGTATATCTTTAAATAATTTGAAATACTGCTTCGTCTTTGTTTTATAATTTATTAATGAAAAAAATGAGCAAAATTGACTGAAAATTATTTCTACTTAACATTTAGACTTTATTTTTATAGACAAAATGGTCAACTAGTGGACCCAAACATGGCAGTGGTCATCCAAGAAATGGTACCATCTCAAGTGGCTGGAGTGATGTTTACTTCTCATCCCATCACAGGACATCCGTCTTACATCTCTATTTCTGCTAATTATGGATTAGGAGAGGTAACACGAGATATTTAAAACATTTTAACACTGGTTATTTATTGATATCATTTCCAGTTCTTTAAAAAATCTTCTGATTCCTAAATTAATTAACCACTATAAAAGATGAATCTCTTACTCGGTTTATAAGACTTGTGTTTTTTTTATCTAGTAGAGAGCATTAGAAAAATTCTTATTTTTTTCATGAAACACTTGGATTAATAATTACAAGAACAAGAAAACAATATAATAAGGAAAATGTGCTGTGCTATCTAGTAATGATTTTTAGAATTATATATTTTACTGTAGGTTTTTAGTTTATTAAAGGGAATTTTGCTAAAAGATCATATAACAAACTAAAATCTATAACACAATCATTTTACCATTTGATATCGTGGTCACATTGGAAGAAAGGGAGCAAACACACAAGAACATGTATTAATTGTCTGGTTACTAAGCACTACAATTAAAGAAACAAATGAGCAGTCGTTAGAATCGAGATAAGTCTGAATTTATTTATACATCACATAAACGCGCCAAAAATAAAAAAGCGTTGAAAATAATAAAACAAAAGCAAAACAAAAATGTAGAAAGAGAGAGGAGAGAAGAAAATGTGTAAGTTAAAATTCACCCAATGAGCAACAGCACTTGTAGATCTAGGCACGACAGGAGGACCTAGGTTTCATCATGTTGTTTTAGGAACTAAATCTAGAAATAAAGAGCATAGAAAATAACCATTTTTCAAGAATTTCGTTTCTAAAACTAGTTGGGGCTCTCATTCATCATTTGCAAGAAATTGCTCAGCGAAATAAGAACTAAACAGACGAAAACAACAAACGTCAAAAGTCTAGTTTGGCGATTGCTTCTAACTGGAACAAAAACACGCGTATTAATAAATATTTTATCCTTTTTCAACCCATGGGTACCAGGAGATGTAGAAACAGTTTTTGTTGTTGTTTTAGCGCAAGGGTACAAAATGGTCTGTCTGTGATCTGTCCACCGTGGGTAATAGAACTCCAGATTTTAGCGGAAAACTAATCGCTAAACCACTGGAGGGCGGATGTAAAGATCGACCAGATAACTCTTTAACGCCCAAAAGTACATTTATGTCCAGAAACCTTGTAACATTAAAAGCTTTTCATATGTACCTTCAACAGATATTACAGACACATACATCAGAATACCGTTAATCGGTCAGGGGGTTAGGTAATAAAGGTGATTGGAAATCTGGAATGAAATGTTAGTATTTTTACTGCGATTACAATCAACGCAAAAAATACTCTTTTAAAACAAACACTACGTTTTACGTCTCAGTTGTACATCATTATACTAAATTTCTAATTTTGGAAAGAATAATTCTAACTGATATTATTTGTATTACGTCTGATCATAAGCAAAACTTCCAAAATGGAATTGTACGTTTATTACTCAAACGGGTCATCTTAGCACAACAATTTTTGTAAATTTATTTACTTATTCTTTTGTGTTTTTATTTTCTTGATTGTTTGTTTGTTTGTTTTTTATTTCGCGCGAAGCTACGCGAGGGCTATCTGCGCTAGCCATCTATAACTTAGCAGTGTAAGACTAGAGGGAAGGCAGCTTGTCATCACCACCCACCGGCAACTTTTGGGCTACTCTTTTACCAACGAATAGTTGGATTGACCATCACATTATAACGCCCTCACGGCTAAAAGGGCGAGCATGTTTCGTGGGACGGGGATTCGAACCCGCGACCCGCAGATTATGATTCGAGCGCTCTAACCAGTAAGAAACTTGAAAGCTACATATCACTAAATAAAATTGTTTTTATTCCAAAGGGAAAACGGTGCTTCTGTAATTAAATTTAAAACCAGATATCACCAAATGAAGTGTTTCTATTCCAAAAGGAAAACGGTTTTTCTTTAAGGAACTTGAAAGCTACATATCGCTAAATGAAATTATTTTATTCCAAAGGGAAAACAGAAACACTTCATTTGGTGATATCTGGTTTTTAATTTAATTACAGAAGAACCGTTTTCCCCTTGGAATAAAAACACTTCCTTTAGCGATATGTCGCTTTCAAGTTCCTTACAGAAGCACCAATTCCAAAAGGAAAACGGTTTTTCTTTAAGGAACTTGAAAGCTACATATCGCTAAAGGAAGTGTTTTTATTCCAAGGGAAAAACGTTTCTTCTGTAATTAACTTTAAAACCAGATATCGCTAAAGGAAGTACTTTTATTCCAAAGTGAAAATGGTTCTTCTGTAAGGAACTTGAAAGCTACATATCGCTAAAGGAAGTGTTTTTAATTCAAATGGAAAAGGTTCTTCTGTACGGAACTGGAAAGCTACATATCATTAAGTAAGTATTTTTATTCCAAGAGGAAAACGGTTCTTCTGTAAGCAACTTGAAAGCTACATATCACTAAATGAAATTGTTTTATTCCAAAGGGAAAACGGTGCTTCTGTAAGGAACTTGAAAGCGACATATCGCTAAAGGAAGTGTTTTTAATTCAAATGGAAAAGGTTCTTCTGTACGGAACTGGAAAGCTACATATCATTAAGTAAGTATTTTTATTCCAAGAGGAAAACGGTTCTTGAATAAGGAACTTGAAAACTGCAAAAGCAATTGCTGGTCGAAACTTTTTTTTTCATCTTTAGATTGTCAAACTATCAAGCTCTTCCAAGTTTCAGTCATCTATGAACCTTTTAATCAAACATAAAATGTTTTTTTTTCAGGTCATACATGTCTTGCTTGAAAATTAATTTTTTTTTATACGTGATCTCATATGAATGTTCTTTATAATAGAATGAAAAAATTAAGTCATGATTTTGCGAATAAGTAATGATCCACCATTCAAAATATTTCACAAAAATATCAAAGTGCAGCAAAACAGCCTACAGATGAAAGCGAAAACATTTGTCTTATTTATTAAAATGTTAATGTTTTAATCATATAAGGCGAGAAAAGGAATAAAATGCGACTTCTTTCGTATGTAACATGCATGGGAGTATATTGCGTTTACCATTATCACAATGTTTCCAAATACTCCGAAATAGCCTGTAGTAGCTTTTAACAAAAAATCATAGCCATTTCTGTATACCTAGGCAAAACAAAAGCTCGTTCTAGAACTTTGCTTTACGTCAATCAATTTTTATATTAACAGTAGTGTTTGTTTGTTTGGAATTAAGCACAAAGCTACACAATGGGCTATCTGTGCTCTGCCCACCACGGGTATCGAAACCCGGTTTCTAACGTTGTAAGTCCTCAGACCTACCGGTGTGCCACTGGGGGGCTAACAGTAGTGAATAAAACAGAGTATTATATTTCGCATACATATAAATAGTGCATGTATTTTTAAGGCACAGAATGCATTCTTATTTAATTTATGTTCTTGCTAAACGGGATTCATTTGAAGATACATAACATAAACTACTTATTATTACTCGCGATTATTATAACTAAAACTAATGTAAGGTGTAATTATAAATTATACTACCTAGTGTAACTGGGCAGCATATACTACAGTATTTTTTCTTATTGAACAGAGATAGGGAATTTTTCTTAGTGTTTTGTTACACTTCGTTCCTGTTAAGAAATGTTATTTTTATTCATAGTAAAACCATTTCAAAGTAAAAGTCATATATATATGACATATTTTTTAGTCAGTGGTTTCGGCGGCTTCGGAACCCGATACGTACACATTACGGAAATCGGACGAAGGTGACGTCATCGTACATGACCAAATAATTGGAAGGAAAGAGACTATATGCAAAATGAAAGGTTTGTGTGTTTCTAGATCTGTTTGTTTGTTTTTCTGAAAGATATAATAATTCAACTAATATATGAAAAAGGTAACAAAATATGATTCTGAATGAAAGGGCATTTGTATTCCATTACCTTTTGAATTTATTCCCCAGATCACACACACATGTATATATATAAATGAGTTGCTATTACGCACTAATCTGCACAATGGGCTATCTTTATTGTGCCCACTGCAGCGAGCGAACCAGAATTTTAGCGTTATAAGCCCTGAATCTTACCATTGAGCCACCGTGTGTGTGTGGGGGGGGGAGCTACATATTTGAGAAAAATAACATAGGGAAGTTCTGTTATTTACCTTAGTTATACTAAGAGGAATTACAGAAGTTTATGGTAAGAAATAAAGGTAGGGTATTGTACGACATAAATATGTATATATTTTTTCTGAAATTTTTGAATAGAGGAAGGTGGGACTAAAGAAGAGATAATGTCACAATCGGACTCTTCTAAATTGTGTCTTTCACAGAATGAAGTGGAGACACTTGGAAAGCTCGGTATTTTGGTAAGTATTGTGTTATTAGTTTTCTACAAACTGGCAGAGAATTTACAATGATGTGGTTCTTTTTAAGAGTGTTGTGATTTTGATAAAACAAAAATTCCACTAAGTTCTATTTTAAAAATTTTCAGAAGTTTTTGTTTTGGAATCTTCATATTGTAATTCTCTTAAAAATTACACGTGAGAACCGATAAGCCAGAATTTTGAAAATTTACTTCAAAAACATAACGCTTTTTAAACTTTAAAAACATTGAAACATCTTTGTAAGGAGTAATAAATTAGCATAATTTTATTAATGTTATATCTTAATGATAGTTTAACTATTGATGTTTATTACACATTGAAATAAGTGTACTATTAAACGGTAAATTGACATCATCCTCGTAATGTAATTCAAACTATAGTCGTATTAATGTTTTTTGTAGGAGATAAGTATATGTTTCATCCATTTTTAAATAGGTATCCTGGACTTATAACAAGCTTTCTTGTTTTTCTTCAACGTGCTGTTTAACGTCTTACTTTTTCTATGTAGGTTGAATCGGCTTTTGGATCTTCACGTGACATTGAATGGGCGATCAGTAACAACAGGTTTTTTCTCTTACAGGTAAGAGCATTCGAAGCGTCGCATTTGTCATTGTAATAATTTGTATGGTTAGTACACTAAAGTAAAAACAAGGACATTGTTTATTGAATATAGGTGGATAACGATAAGAAAATAATTTTGAATTTGATGGTCAAAACCAAATGAAGAACGTAAAATATTTGAGAGGTTGAATTTATATTAACGTAGAGAGACAAAATTTTGAAATAGAATACACTAACAATACAATATATACCCATTAAACCAAAAGTAATGAACATAACTATAAACATTTGTTTTCGTCCATAGTTTTAGTTTCATGCTGCAACACCTTTTTGACTGAACCGTACAACCTGCTCTAACACTCCTCACTAGTACTTTCAGTAAGATTGTAAGTTTGCTGTCATAGCAACTACTAACGTAATTTTCGCTAAGTGAAAGCTTACAATATTAATATAAACTATTCATTGTCTATCTTATTAAACCAAAGGAAAATATTCTGATCATTTAAAATTTAGTAGCAGTGAAAATTATTTAATGACATCCATAAAAACGTAACAGAATAAGAAATATCCAGTTAAAAGCAGTCATGCTTTTTCTCACCTTCAAATCGAATATATAAACATTTATAACCTTCATTTAACAATTGTTAAAACTTCTCATAGAACAACCAGTAAGTTCTGTTTATGATTTGAACGATTTTTGGTAAAGAGGCCAAGCCCTTAGAAACCCTTTCTATGTGATGACTCTGAACGGGAACTATTACTCTACACTACAGTATTCGCTAAGATAAATGTTTTCTCACTCCTATTTACGTGAATTCCAAAGTTCATCACCTGGCCGTAACTAAAGTATAGTTTAAGTAACCCAAAGCCACAGAAGTGTATGGGAGATATCTGCGGATAACATAACATTAATTCCAGTTTGCGGAGGACCTGGCATGTTGACTTGGACGTGTCGCAAGAGGCTTTGTCTTGATGAAGCTATGTCGTATTGACATCCATTCAGTACAAAGACGGTTTTTCTTCATAGTATAGTATTGTCTGCACGATTACCTGATATTATGGAAAATTCAACTTGGACTTTTTTTGGACTTTCCGGATGGTCACCTTACTATTATAGCTGCAACCTGCTATCACCATAAATCCCTTGGAAAGACTTTCGCGAAACGCTCTGTAACATTTTGGAAGTGTTGCAATACCAGCTGGACAATAATAAATCACCCGGGCTTTTGTAGACGATTGATTAATAAAGCATATTATTCGACCAATGTAAAGAAATACTTGCACGTACCGCATATTAGATATCGCTTTAGGTAATCGGTCTAGTACTTTGAGAAAAACTTGCACGACCTATTTTTGTGGGAATTATCTTGGTTAGACTTCCAAGGGAGGTTTCTACTTTACCTGCAATGAACTATCGTGTTCGTGGATTTGTTCTGGTGACGAACTATTTACCTTTCTTTACCACCTCTGATGTGCAACGGGTAGTGCAGTGGCCTGTTTTTGCCCTTGCTTTACTGATATAGTTCAACAATATAGATACTTGCCTTGCATGCTTTCATATTCGCGAAATAGGAGAACTTCGAGTCAGAAAGTCCTGTAAAGTAACCAATTTAAAACTGGTATTTCTGAGTACCATCTACACTGGCAAATCAACACTCTTCAGTTGAATTACAGCAAGAAGGTAGGAACTTTTAACATGTATAGTTACGGGCCACAGGGATGGCCAGATGACTGGATATTCAAACTAGCTAGTGATAACCTTCTGTATTTACTGAATCTAAATTTATAACGTGATTAAACCTAAAACTGGCTTCGAAAAATCCCATTTATGAGCTCAAGTTTTTTAAATATACCTTTAACCTTTTTAGAAGTATTTCGATAAATAACATTTTCATGAGATTGCTATTTGTTTTTCATATGCGTAGGCTCGTCCAATAACTACAGGTGATAAGATGACGGATTACGAATTGGTTCATGCCTTGGATACTGGGTTGCTAACAGAAAGCGAGTACTTAAGTATAGCGAACGTGGCGTAAGTTAAGCATAAATGTGTGATTTGTTTAAATATAATAAGTAAACTTATTTAAATAATTATTTTATTCAATTAGATTTTTTTTCTGCAAAAATAGAACAATATGTTGAAATAAGAAAAAACAAGGTAGTTATGTCATTTGGCTTATTTGTTTTAGCGAGAAGTTACAAGATAGGCTAATTGCGCTCTGTCCACGGCGGAGAATTAAACCCCAATTTTTATCATTATAAGTCTTGAAACTTATCTTTGACTCGCCGAGAGACATGCAGTTATTTTTTATCATATACATTTGTATCGTCAAACGGACACAAGATTTCGAAAACATAAGAGCTTTATCTCAAACTTGGTTTTTTTTTTTTCGTTTTTAAAATAGATGAAATTGTGGCAAAAAAATTAGATTTTCACTGAAAGTTATTATGTCATGTACATATTTGTTCAGGAGTAAAATTTAATTTCATAACCTGGCAAGTCATAGTGTTTTTAATGGCGTAATTTTCATTATTAAATCCAATATTGGAGTATTCGATTTTACCCTTGCCAGTGTTTCAAAACAATAGTAAACTTTTTGTCTTTTAAGGGACGAGCCGGGCGAAGGAGGGATATCAATATATCTGAACACCCCAGTTTGGGAAAGTTTCTTTTCTTTAAAAACTAAATCCCTGTCACGAAATTTTCCTTTTCGTGTGTGTAAGGGGGTAGCTGCGTTGTGTACACCGTAGAAATCAAACCCCGAATTTTAGCGTTATGAACTTTTGAGCTTTACCACTACCCCATTTAATGCCAAGTAATAATAATATCACAACTGCAATGGGCTCTGACGTTAAAAGAGTGACAGTCACATTCCACTATTTGATTAGAGTAGCCCAAGAATTGGCAGTATATGGTGTGATTACTTGCCTTCCCTCTTTTCTATCATTTAGAAATTGGGGACTGCTAGCACAGGTAGTCCTTGTGTAACTTTGCGTAAATACCACAAACAAACATAAATATTTATTTTTTCACGATAACCTCTCCGAATCTGTAAATAATTTGAGACAGATTTCTTCTAAATAGGTAATGTAATTTTAGGATTCAACAGAATCATAATATATATATTTAGAAAGTAAAAAATCTAACTGAAAACTAGTGTGTGTCATGTCACGTTTGATTTCTCGAAATAGGAGGAGTCGTAAGTGTAGTGAGTAAAGTAAAGTAAAGACGTAGTGTGGGATCACCTAGTCTCTAGACCCAAGTGCATAAAATGTATCATTGTTACGTATTAGAAATTTAAATGGTCTGAAATTGAGTTAACCGATAAATTTAAACTTAATAGTTAAATTATACTTTGGATTTAGCATTTAAATAAATGCCGATATATAGTCAGTTTGTAATATTTGCCAACAAGATTGATACACAGTTTTATTTTTGAATACAAATACGTTTCAATATACACACAACAGTACAATTTATAATAACATTT